TTTGATTGTAGGTGAACTATACATCCCAGTAACTACACTTGCCGCACTTGCTCCCTTGCCTGGCCGCTTTGGGTCCGGAGGCGTGCCTGAAGACCCCGGCGTGTGCACCAAAAGTCACCTCTTCTCCTGACTTTCTCCTCAGCCATTGGGACCAAGAGAGAGAGAGAGAGAGAGAGAGAGAGAGGTGGAGATGCCCACCTTTCCTGAAGGTAGGCGCAAAAACAAAGGAGGGAGCGGAGGTGGGAGATACCTCCAGCTGGAGGGGCTCTCTCTCTCTCTCTTGGTCCCAATGGCTGAAGAGAAAGCAACTTTTGGTGCGCACGCTGGGGTCTTCAGACATGCCTCCGGACCCGAAGCGGGCCAGGTGCGGCGGCTCTGCCCCTTGGCCCACCTGCGGATTGGGGAGAGGAGAGGAGGCAGGTGGAGCGCCGGGGGATCAGGAAAGGGAGCCGGTCATGGGGAAGGGATCGAACGCGGAGAATGATTGAGTGCCGGCTCTGCTCGTGCACCCGGTGGCCGGGTGGAGCAGGAACGAGAGGGGCTAGGCGAGGCTAAGGGCCCGGCCTCTTTGGGAAGAGGATCGCCCGGCAGCGAGGCAAGAAAGCCGAGGCTCCCCCCGGACTGCTAGGGCTGTTGTGAGAGGGCGCTCCTCAAGTGGAGGTCGAGCGGCATTTACAGAGGCGCCTCTGCGCCCCTGGCAAAAAAAAGTGTTCTGCGACCGCTTACTTCGCATAATGGACGAGCCGCCCCTGATATACCCATATACAGCCCAAGTAATGAAGGTGGAGACATTACTTTTCATTCAACCCTCGTATATAAAATTATTATCAGGCCATGTTTATAAGACTAATAAAATCAGGGCTTTCTTGGTAAGTTTTTTTTTAGGAGGGTTTTTCTTTTGTCTGAGTCTTTCTTCCTCCGAGGCTCGGAGAGTGTGATTTGGCCAAAGCCTGCTGAGTCTTGCCACCTTATCACATTGAGAAATTTCCCAGTCATGGGATACTTCAGGCTCTTTTAAAGCATGGAAAAGCACTGAGCTCATCCCGTGAGTTAAACTACTTCTGGCCATCATGCATAGCCCTCTGTGGTTGAAAAGAGGCAGAAGTGTCCTGAAAGGAGGGAACTCCAGCAATCAACCTCATCATAGGACACTTCAGACGCTTTTCAAGCATGGAGAGGCACAGAGCTTATCACATATTCCAGGGTTGAAAAGAGGCAGAAATGTCCTGAAAGGAGAAAATTCTGAACACGGCCTCGCAATCATGTTCAAAGCTCCTGCCTCTTACTGTCCTTTAGTCACATCTTTACAACTGAAAAACAGATGGGATGGGAACCATCAAAGTTTCCCATCCTGTTTCATTGCCCAACCATTAGCAGTCTCTTGTATCTTATGGCCTTTGATGCAGAACAAGAGGATACCATGAGAAGCAATGTTTTTAACTTGGTATCAGTCTCCTTTAATGCAAAGAGCTTTGGGCATGGCAAGGGATCTCTTGGTTTTCGGATATTATTGTTTCTCCTGATTATTTTTTTAAATAATACTAACCTTGTAATGAATGTAAGGTGAATGCATTGCCAGCTCTTAATTTTCCACGTGTTGGTGTGATGGGGAGGCAGAACTTGAAATGAGACTGCTGATGATAGAAGAGGGGTGATTCTCTCTGCTAAAAGGATGGTCACCCTTGCTTTCCCCTCTCAATGTGATGAGGTTGTTAGTCCAATGCCTAAAGTATTAGAGCAGTGTTTCTCAATCTGGGGTCGGGACACCGGGGGGGGGGGGGTCGTGAGGGGGTGTCAGAGGGGTCACCAAAGACCATCACAAAACACAGTATTTTCTGTTGGTCATGGGGGTTCTGTGTGGGAAGTTTGTCCCAATTCTATCATTGGTGGGGTTCAGAATGCTCTTTGATTGTAGGGAACTATAAATCCCAGCAACTACAACTCCCAAATGTCAAGGTCTATTTTCCCCAAACTCCCAGAGTGTTCACATCTGGGCATATTGCGTATTTGTGCCAAATTTGATCCAGATCCATGATTGTTCGAGACTACAGTGCTCTCTGGATGTAGGTGAACTACAACTCCCAAACTCAAGGTCAATGCCCACCAAACCCTTGCCAGTATTTTCTGTTGGCTATGGTAGTGCTGTGTGCCAAGTTTGGTTCAATTTCATTGTTGGTGGATTTCAGAGTTCTCTTTAATTGTAGGTGAACTATACATACCAGTAACTACAACTCCCAAATGATAAACTCAACCCCGCCCCCATAACCCGACCAGTATTCAAACTTGGGCGTATTGGGTATTTGTCTGGTATTTGTGCCAAATTTGGTCCAGTGAATGAAAACACATCCTGCATATCAGATAGTTACATTACAATAATGCTTGTTTGCATGCTGGTCGCATGCTTGCTTGCATGCTGTATAATATCACAAAGGACTACCACCTCACCCGCCTCATAGGAAACCTGCTACAAAACAGGAGCTTTTTTGTTGAATTTCAGGGCCAGAGAAGCAGATGGCAGAAACAGAAGAACGGCCTGCCTCAGGGGAGCGTGCTTGCTCCATCCATGTTCAACATCTACATGTTGACCAGCCACTGCCAGAAGGGACAGAGAGTTTCATCTATGCAGAAGATCGTGCCATTACTGCTCAAGCAGGGAGCTTTGAGATGGTAGAACAGAAGCTTTCCAAAGCTCTAGGTGCTCTCACTGCCTATTACAGGGAAAATTAGCTGACCCCTAACCCATCTAAAACACAGACATGTGCCTTTCATCTCAAGAACAGACAAGCATCCCGAGCTCTGAAGATCACCTGGGAAGGAATCCGACTGGAGCATTGCAGCGCACCCAAATACCTGGGAGTCACTCTGGACTGTACTCTTACCTGCAAGAAGCACTGCCTGAACATAAAGCAAAAAGTGGGTGCTAGAAACAATATCATACAAAAGCTGACTGGCACAACCTGGGGATCACAACCAGATACAGTGAAGACATCTGCCCTTGCGCTATGCTACTCTGCTGCTGAGTATGCATGCCCAGTGTGGAACACATCTCACCACACTAAAACAGTGGATGTGGCTCTTAATGAGACATGCCGCATTATCACGGGGTGCCTGCGCCCTACACCACTGGAGAAATTACACTGCTTAGCCGGTATTGCACCACCTGACATCTGCCGGGAAGTAGCAGCCAATAGCAAAAGGACATCTCCAGCTCATCCCCTGTTTGGGTATCAGCCAGCACGTCAATGACTTAAATCTAGAAATCGTTTTCTAAGATCTACAGAGACACTCGCCGGAACACCTCAGCAAGCGAGAGTCCAAAAGTGGCAGGCCCAAACCCAGAATCTCAACCAATGGCTGATACCAAATGAGAGACTCCCTGCTGGGCACACAGAGGACTGGGCGACTTGGAAGGTGCTGAACAGACTGCGCTCTGGCACCACGAGATGCAAAACCAACCTTCAGAAATGGGGCTACAAAGTGGAATCCTCGGCATGCGAGTGTGGAGAGGAGCAAACCACTGACCACCTGCTGCAATGCCACATGCACAATGGAGGACCTTCTTGCAGCAACACCAGAAGCACTCCAAGTGGCCAGATACTGGTCAAAGGACATTTAATCAACTACCAAACTCACAATTTTCGTATTTTGTCTGTTGTTCCCCCCCCCCCCCCTTTGATCTGTTAGAAATGTAATATAATCGACTGGTTGCACTGACACGATAAATAATAATACATTTTTTTTTTACAATAATGGTATGGTTGGGGGTCACCACAACCTGAGGAATTGTATTAAGGGGTTGAAGCATGTTGAATTCTGTCAACAGCGAGAGTAAAGGTGAAGACCTGGATGTTTGTGCAGGCGTTTGAGTAATTTAGTGCAATCTGGTAATGGAACATAGGAATGGAACAAGGGACGACGAACCTGGACTACGCTTGGATGATGAGAAGATTGGGTACGGTTGTTTTTTGTAATAATTGTGCATTGTAATTGCTTATTGGTAATTTATGGATAATGTGTTAAGTCAATTGTTATATGTTGTATGGAACCACTGCTGTTTCTACTGTTTTTACTGTTTGTGAACCGCCGTGAGTCGCCTTCGGGCTTGAGATACAGCGGTATATAAGCAAAGTAAATAATAATAATAATAAACTCGCATCACTGCCCTAGCAAAGGGAAAACCACACGAGCGCGGAGAAATAGGCGGAGAAAGAGGCGGAGTGTCATGCTGGCACAGTTTGCTCTCCCAAGACGCTAGTTTGCGGCGGCTCTTAGGAAGATTGAGAAACACTAGAGTATACTCTACGTCCAGTTGTATTGTTTATTATCTGTCTAATACTTGTGACTCAAGCACTAATCTTCACAATCCATTTCAAACAAAGGGTGCATCTGCAGAAATAATGCAATTTAACTCCACTTTAATTACCACGGCTTAGTGCTATGGAATCCTAGAAGCTGTAGTTTTAGAAGGTCTTTAGCCTTCCCTGACAAAGAGTTCAGGTGCCCCACCAAACTATGGCTGGATCTACACTGGATCTGATTCCAGATTATCTGCTTTGAACTGGATTATATGAATCTACACTGCCAGATAATCTGGGATCAGAAGATAATCTGGGATCAGATCCTGGGATATAGGGCAGGTGTAGATCCAGCCTACAACTACCACTATAGCATTGAGTTATGGCAGTTAAAAGTTCCTTCTAAATATAATCCAGATTATCAAATCAGATAATCTGGATTTATATGACTGTGTTGAAGGGCCCAAAGTGGTGCCAAACTGCTTTAATTCTACACTGTAGATTCACCCCACCTTCATGCCTCAGTTAATGCAGAAGGAGCCTTGCTGAAAAGCATTGCAGACAGCTGATGATCACCAGCCTCCTGCACTGAAGTGACCTTCCCTTAATGGCGACCTCAGATTCACTCTCTAGTTCTTCCCTCACTCTCAGTGTTCTTAGGTAATAGATCCGCCCAGGAACAAAAAGCAAGACACAAAAGTTCCGGCTGGCTGACGTGGCAGGGAGCAACTTCACTAATGATTCATTCAGAGGCAGAGATTTATTTATTTTTGAAATGGGATGCAAAAGCACCAGCAAAGGCTTTCAGTTATTGATAGGTGGTGTAAGTAAACAAACTTTTAAAGTGAATAATAACAGGGGAATAATAAGGGAGGGGGTGACTTAGGAAAGTTCATTCAAACAAAAATGCATAAAGTTAAGCTTCTCTTTATTGCATCTCTAGGGAAGTGGGCTGTTCTGATTGGGCGATGCATGAAACTCATATGCTTTTTGCTTCACCAGTATCCCAAGCTGAAATAATGTGTAAGGTTTGCTGAAGAGTTTCCAGAATTGTGACTGGTGAAGTTTTAAAGCACATAAGGTTCTAGCTGGAGCCTGAGATGGTGATATATACCACAAACCTCATTAAAAAAGATCAGAGGGTTTTAAAAAGGGGATGAAATATAACATGAATTGCTATGGGAGTGGGAATGCCAGGAAAAATGATGGTACATTCTAATTGCAGGAAAAAAAAATCCACCTAAACATTAGAAAGAAGTTTCTGATGGTAAGAGCTCTTTGGGAGTGGAATATTCTGCTTGGAATGTAGCGGAGTCTCCTTCTCTGGGAAGTCAGATCTGGCCACAGTGGTCCACACTCTTGTTACATCCCGAATAGATTACTGCAACGCACTCTACGTGGGGTTGCCTTTGAAGACTGTTCAGACTGTTCTGGGGCAGCAGCCAGATTAATCACCGAAGCGTCATACAGGGAGCATACCACCCCTCTGTTATGTCAGCTCCACTGGCTGCCGATCCAGTTCCGAGCACAATTCAAAGTGCTGGTTTTGACCTACAAAACCCTATACGGTTCCGGCCCAGCTTATCTGTCTGAACGCATCTCCCTCTACGTCCTGCCTCGGAGTTTAAGATCTTCTGGGGAGGCCCTGCTCTCGGCCCCACCTCTATCACAAGTGAGATTGGTGGGGACGAGGAGCAGGGCCTTCTCGGTGGTGGCCCCTCGCCTGTGGAATTCACTTCCTGGGGAAATTAGGTCATCGACATCCCTCCTCTCTTTTAGAAGGAAACTAAAAACATGGATATGGGACCAGGCCTTTGGGTAATCTGGCAGATAGACAAAGGACAATGACGACTAGAATTGATAGGATTTGACAATGTGGAATGAATTTACGGATTCTGAACTGGCAAACGTTGAGCATTAGACTGGTTTTATTGATTGTGATGTATAATTGATTGTTTTATAATTGCTGTTGATATATGTTTTTATCTTATTGTTTGTGTTGGCATTGAATTGTGCCTTTTGTAAACCGCCCTGAGTCCCCCTCGGGGGTTGAGAAGGGCGGGGTAGAAATGCGCGAAATAAATAAATAAAAATAAATTTTAAAGCAGAGTCTGGATGGCCATCTGTTGGGAGTGCTTTGATGTGTGTTTCTGCATGATAATAGGGCTAGGTAGATGGTTTTTGAGATCTCTTCCAATTCTATGATTCTATTTATTAATTATTTATTTCGGATATTTGTACCCCACCCTTCTCAATGCCCCCCCGGGGGGGGGGGGGGGGGCTCAGGGCGGCTTCCAGCTGGTAACAATTCTATTCCTTCATGTACATATAATAAATTACATAGCAGAACCAATAATTATATATAGTTTTTTTTGTCATGTCAGGAGTGACTTGAGAAACTGCAAATCGCTTCTGGTGTGAGAGAATTGGCCGTCTGCAAGGACGTTGCCCAGGGGACGCCCGGATGTTTTGGTGTTTTACCATCTTTGTGGGAGGCTTCTCTCATGTCCCCGCATGAGGAGCTGGAGCTGATAGAGGGAGCTCATCCGCACTCTCCCCGGATTTGAACCTGTGACCTGTCGGTCTTCAGTCCTGCCGGCACAGGGGTTTAATACCCTCCGCCACCAGGGCCCCTTATATATAGTTAAAAACATTAAGGCAATACAATTAAAATCTACTAAAATATACCAGTCTGGTAGCCATTATCTAGCCAAATTCTGTAGTTGAGGACTCTATCAAACTTGTCCAAAGTCCATTACCATAACAATTGTCGTCATTGTCATAGTCCGCATAGTTACCCAAAGGCCTGGTCCCACATCCATGTTTTTAACTTCTTTCTAAAGGAGAGGAGGGATGAAGATAACCCAATTTCCCTGGGGAGTAATTTGCTCAGGTGGATGGCCACCACCGAGAAGGCCCTGTGACATTCTATCCCAAGGTTCATCCACTTATGTGATGCCAGTACTGATGAATTGATTGGCTATGGAAAGCTTTTCGGTCTGATTCCAATAATGGAAAGTGGACTGGCTGTCTGCTAAACCCGAATGTCCTTTTCAGATCCTTTATAATCTACTGTGTATTTGAATTCCTCTTATTTGCCTGTCTGTCTTTCCCAACTTTAGACCTCACAACCTCTGAGGATGCTTGCCATAGATGCAGGCGAAACGTCAGGAGAGAATGCTTCTAGAACATGGCCATATAATCCGAAAAACCTACAACAAGCCAAAGCCCTAAATGGTTCTGGCCTAGCTTACCTGTCGGAAAGTATCCTCCCCTATGAACCACCTCAGAGATTAAGAACGTCTGGGGAGGCCCTGCTCTCGGTTCCGCCTTCTTTGCAAGAGTGGTTAATGGGGACGAGAGACAGGGCCTTCTCAGTGGTGGCCCCTTGACTGTGGAACTCCCTCCCTTGCAACATCAGATCAGCCCCCTCCCTCCTTGCCTTCAGAAGAACAGTAAAAACCCGACTCTGGGACCAGGCTTTCGGGGATGAGTGTAGTTCAATATAGATGTGCATAGTATGTGCAATGACTATGGAATTGGTCTTGGATTACGATCTTTGGATGGTGTGATTTTAATGCTGAATGTAATTTAAAAAACGCTTAACTTGTATTAATTTTAACTCAATTGATTTTAAGTTTTTAATGCCTGTATGTGTCGTAAGGCATTGAATACTTGCCAAATGAAAGCCGCCTTAAGTTCCCTTCGGGGTAGAGAAAGATGGGGTATAAATGGGGCAAATAAATAAATAAATAAATAAATAACATGGGAAAAGTTTATTAAACTGCCAAAACTTTGTTTCTGTGGGACATCTCACAGCGCATTTTGCTCTACTTTTTCAACGAATATCTCAGAGAGCCTCAACCAATTCAACATATTTTGTGGCAGCCACAAAAATGAAGTTTCTGGAGTGTAACAACTCCTTTCAAAGTACGTGCTGCACAATTAAATAGGAAATAACACTTTCAAACCAGGAACAGATTTTCTCCCCAAATTTTTGTTATATAGTGTTATCTATATAAATAAAAATGCAATGTTGGTTTGTGGGATTAACATAACTCAAAAACCACTGGACGAATTGACACCAAATTTGGACACAAGACACCTAACAACCCAATGTATGTCCTTCACAAAATTTTGATTTTGTCATTTGGGAGTTGTAGTTCTTGGGATTTATAGTTCACATACAATCAAAGAGCATTCCGAGCTCCGCCAACATGCCACACAGGACTCCCATAACCAACAGAAAACACAGAAAGGTTTAGAGGGCATTGACCTTGAGTTTGGGAGTTGTAGTTCACCTATATCCAGAGAGCACTGTGAACTCAAACAATGATGGATCTGGACCAAACTTGGCACGAATACTCAATATGTCCAAATATGCACACAAATGGAGTTTGAGGGAAATAAACCTTGACATTTGGGATTTGTAGTTGCTGGGATTTATAGTTCACCTACAATCAAAGAGCATTCCGTACCCCACAAATGACAGAATTGGGGCAAACTTACCACACAGAACCTCCATGACCAACAGAAAATATTGTGTTTTCTGGTGGTCTTTGGTGACCCTTCTGACACCCCCTCGCCCCCCCCAGGGGTCCTGACCCCCAGGTTGAGAAATGCTGCCTTAAGACCATCCAGTCCAACTTCCTTCACCAGGGCAAGAAAATGTAATCAAAACCCTCCTGACAGCCATCCACCCATAGATATAGATAGTAGGGCTGTCCAACCACGGAAAAATTTGTTTCTAAACTCGATTCGTTCTTAGGGATTTTTTGCGTTTCGTTATTTAAAAGAATTCTGAAATTTTCCTTAAAAAAAGTTCGATATTTACGAAATTTCGTAAATTACGAAACAATTACGAACCAATTACGAATCGATTCGTTAATGGCGGACGCGACCGCGCAATACGCTAAAAAACCTCCAAATGGGACAGGGGGAACTTCTGAAGCTTCCCTCACCCTCTGTTGTTGACTGTTGGTGTGATATTTATATTTTTTTCACTGATTAAACAAACAACAACTATAAAACTTGCCCCAGACATGCAGAAATAATAACGAAACGATTTCAAAACGATAATGAAACGAATACAAAACGAATTCGAAACAATTACGAAACGAATTTAAAAATTCGTTTCGTTTTTTAGTTGCTTCTGAATGGTTCGTTATTGCTTCGTTATAAAAAAAACCGAATTTTTAACGAATTACGAAATTACGAAACGAAACCGCCCAGCCCTAATAGATAGATATATTTGATTGACACACACAGATATAGTATCCTAGATTTAAAAAGGGACCCCTAAAGAAGGACAATTATATGTTGCCTGTTCCAGAGTAGGCAAACCACACAATCTCCACATCAACACTGACAAAGAAACAGCAAGAAATACTATTTACCCACAAACAGAAAGAAATTACATATATTAGAAACCAACACTTTCTCATTACTTTATTTTCCAGATCACCAGACTGGGCCACAGCAACGTGTGGCAGGGGATGGCTAGTTACTGTGATAAAAATGACAACCTCCTCACCTGTACAAACAATAGGGGGAAGCAGGCTGTTGGGTCTGGAATAATTTTGCACAGCTTTTAATCTTTTCATTTTAAAAAGTAGTTTGGATCCTTTGCAGATAGTTAAAGATACGATTGGACAGAGGACTTCGGGGTGGACGGGAGACGGGACGGGACGGGACACAATGTGACCCGTAATACAAAACAGTTTTCCTGGAAGCCAAGCCCTTTGAGGAGCAGCTTAGGGAACTGGATTTGTTTAGCTTGGAGAAAAGAAGGGACATGAAAGCCATGTGTAAATATTCGAAAGGACGTCTCATTGAAAAAGACACAGAGCAATGGATTCAAATTGCAGGAGGGGAAAGATTCCACCTAAGCATTGAGAAGAATTTCCTGATGGTAAGAGCTGCTTGGCAGTGGGATATGCTGCCTCTGAGTGTGGTGGAGCCTTCTTTTTCTGGAGGTTTTTAAGTAGAGTCTGGATGGCTATCTATTGGGAGTGCTTTGATTGTGTGTTCCTGCATAGCAGGGAATTTGACTGGATGTCCCTTGTCCCAACTCCATTATCTATATAAATAAAAATGTAATGTTCGTTTGTGGGATTAACAGAACTCAAAAACCAGTGGGCCAATTGACACCAAATTTGGACAGCATACACTTAACAACCCAATGTATGCCCTTCACTCAAAAAAATTTGAATTTGTCATTTGGGAGTTGTAGTTGCTGGGATTTATAGTTCACCTACAATCAAAGAGCATTCTGAACTCCACAAATTATGGCATTGAACCAAGCGTGGCATACAGGACTCCCATGACCAACAGAAAATACTAGAAGGGTTTGGTGGGCATTGACCTTGAGTTTGGGAGTTGTAGTTCGTCTACATCCAGTGAGCACTGTGGACTCAAACAGTGATGGATCTGGACAAAACTTGGCATGAATATTCCATATGCCCAAATATGAACACAGAGTTTGGGGGAAATAGACCTTGATATTTGGGATTTGTAGTTGCTGGGATTTATAGTTCACCTACAATCAAAGAGCATTCTGAATCCCACCAGCGATAGAATTGGGCTAGATTTCCCACACAGAACCCCCATGACCAACAGAAAATACTTAAGGTCATCCAGTCCAACTCTCTTTACCAGGGCAAGAAAATGTAATCAAAGCCCTCTTGACAAAGAGCCATCCAGCCATAGATATAGATAGATAGATAGATATGATACACACACACACACGCAGAGATAGTATCATAGATTTCAAAGGACCCCCTAAAGAAGGACAATGATATGTTGCATATTCCAGTGTAGGCAAACCAGACAATCTCTACATCAACATTGACAAAGAAACAACAAGAAATACTGTTTATCCACACGCATAAAAAATTACATATATTAGAAGCCAACACTTTCTCATTACTTTATTTTCCAGATCACCAGACTGGGCCACAGCAACATGTGGCAGGGGACGGCTAGTTCTATTATATTTTTCTTTCCATTTTTTAAAAATCCTTTATCCTAGGTTTTGTGTATTTTTAACATATAGGAAGACTTTATTAAATGTTTAAAATGATAGAAGCAGTATATATATCTATATCTATATCTTTGTGTGTGTGTGTGTGTGTGGTTCAGGACTCTCCCTCCTGTTTATAAACAGCTACAGGCAGGTTTATCCTCAGGCAGATTGGCAGGTAAGCAGCCCTTTGCCCTGCTCACTCAGTGTTACGCCATAAGTTGGGACTTTGGCACAGGAGGAAAATAAAAGCCATTGCTGACCTCAGGGGGTAGAGAAGCAGCCAGGCATCAACTGATGTGGCAGGTGGACTTTGACAGCTGCCTCGGGGGAAATGTCTTGAGCTGAGCCCAAAGTGAGAGAGAAGCCGGTGGTCCCATTTTAAACAGGTCTGTGTCTGTAAGAGAGAGGGTGGGGAGATGTAACCATCCTGAGTCCCTTCGGGGAGAGAGGGTGGGTTATAAATAATAATAATAATAATAATTATTATTATTATTATTATTATTAATTCTTATATGTATGTATATACCAACATTGTTGCTCACTTAGTTAATCTTGGATTTAATTTGAAATGTCTGATATGTGATGCGGCTGCTAAAAAAGCCAATGGGATTTTGGCCTGCATAAATAGAGTATAGTGTCTAGATCCAGGGAAGTCATGCTAGCCGTCTATTCTGCCTTGGTTAGACCACACCTGGAATACTGTGTCCAATTTGTGTGTGTGTGCTTTTTAAAAAAAATCTGTTTGTTTGTTTTGTTCTGTTAGAAATGTAATACAGTGTTCTGGTTGCGAATGACACGATAAATAAATATTCTGGGCACCACAATTGAAGAGAGATATTGACAAGCTGGAATGTGTCCAGAAGAGGGTGACTAAAATGATCAAGGGTCTGGAGAACAAGCCCTATGAGGAGCGGCTTAAAAAGCTGGGCATGTTTAGCCTGAAGAAGAGAAGGCTGAGAGGAGACGTGATAGCCATGTATAAATATGTGAGAGGAAGTCACAGGGATGGGGGAGCGAACTAGTTTTCTGCTGCTCTGGAGACTAGGACAAGGAACAATGGCTTCAAATTATAGGAAAGGAGATTCCACCTGAACATGAGGAAGAACTTCCTATGAGAGCTGTTCAGCAGTGGAACTCTCTGCCCCAGAGTGTGGTGGAGGTTCCTTCTTTGGAAGCTTTTAAAAAGAGGCTGGATGGCTATCTGTCGGGGATGCTTTGAATGTATTTTCCTGCTTCTGGGAAGTGGGTTGGACTGGATGGCCCATGAGGTCTTTTCCAACTCTATGATTCTATGATTCTAATTTTTTTCCCTTCCTTCATCCTCCTTGCATTTATGTGTGGGAAAAGGCAGGGGGTTGGACTGGATGTCCCACGAGGTCTCTTCCAACACTATATGATTCTATGATAATATGAATGTCATTTTGTCTGCTCCAGGATGTGGAATGAAATGAGCTTAAGTTATGCAAATATTAAATCTGAGTACTCAACAATTTAGGAGATGATGAAGGCAATCTCCATCCCCAAATCCGGTTCTAGAGAGGGCCCATTGACAAAAAATGGGCATTTATAATAATTCAGCACTTGCACCGGTTCTACTGGTTCAGCATGTCTACTGTGGTTGGGACTAACAAATTGATTTAATCCTATAACATTGTTCAGTGCCAAATGTTAGGATTGTACTTGTTGGATTCGCAACGATGAATTATGCAGTTAGCAGAAGACAGTGCAGGGTTATTTAAAAAAACAGTTAGTGAAAGACTTGGAATTATTCCAAAACATGGTTTTGGAGGAATTTTTGCAAGTGTGCTTGGGAAATTGTGATATAGAAATTAAAGGGTCCAGTTATGTTGTATTTCACTCCAGCCATAAATTTAACAGGTGGTCTTAGACAGATCATGTTCTTACCTTGACCAATGATACAAAGCTATTGTAAGATATTGAAATAATGTATGTTAAGGACTCTGAGCATTTAGAAGTGCTTAATCATTATCATCACCATGATTAGTAATAGTATCATTGAGATCAATTATGATGAGAACTGTCTGTAGTCTACCAAATCTATAAAAATTATGTGCTGGCTGGGGTCCTGCCCAGGGTTCATGGTGATACATCCACTCGGTGTTGAGATCTGTATGAATTTTCGTCAGTTTGTTCAGTGTTTCAAATCAGTCTTTAAGTCTTTGAAGAATTTGGAATATTGGGACAAAACCTGAAATAGCAGAAGATCGCTCAGGGGCAGGAGCATTTATTTATACCCCAACTTTTCTGTTAGTATAATGGACCCAATTTGGACCCAGTGTTAGTGATCTGGACCCAATTTGGAGACCATTATGAACAAGTAATTGATTTTAGGAGGGGAAAGGAGGCAATAGCTTTTCCCAAGTCCCTAGTATGTCTCAAACTCAGTTCTCTGGTAGCGAGCCAAAATAAATGGTCCAGATAAGCTGACTCAAGGAATGGGTACCTTGGCACTGTGCTACTGCTTTTGAGGACTGATTCCACTTCCAGGCTAGAAATTCATGCTAATATACTAATGGGTCCTGTAGCTGCATACATTGCCTTAAGTCATAATCCTGTGCGTACTTACCTGATACTAAGCTGCACTGAATTAATTCTGAGTAGACATACCTAGGATTACACAGTTAAATGTACAGATGTAGAGGCTCCTTCTTTGGAGGCCTTTCAACAGAGGCTGGACGGCCATCTGTTGGGGGGTGCTTTGAATGCAATTTTCCTGCTTCTGGGTAGTGGGTTGGACTGGATGGCCGATGAGGTCTCTTCCAACTCCGATTATATGATTCTGTGATTTTACACTATATTTGTTGTTGTTGTTCACTCGTTCAGTTATTTCTGACTCTTCGTGACTTCATGGACCAGCCCACACCAGAACTCCCTGTCAGCCGTCACCTCCCCCAGCTCCTTCAGAGTAAAGCCAGTCACTTCAAGGATGCCATCCATCCATCTTGCCCTTGGTCAACCCCTCGTCCTTTTTCCTTCCATTTTCTCCAGCATCATTGTCTTCTCTAAGCTTTCCTGTCTCCTCATTATGTGGCTGAAATACTTCATCTTTGCCTCTAATATCCTTCCCTCCAATGAGTAGTCGAGCTTTATTTCTTGAAGTATGGACTGGTTGGATCTTCTGGTGGTCCAAGGCACTCTCAGAACTTTCTTCCAACACCACAGTTCAAAAACATCTATCTTCCTTCTCTCAGCCTTCCCTATGGTCCAGCTCTCACATCCATAGGTGACTATGGGGAATACCATTGCTTTGACTATGCGGATCTTCGTTGCTAGTGTGAGGTATATCACTATATTTATTTATTATTTATTAAAAACTTTTATATCCCAGTCTTCTCTACCTCCGTAGAGGAACTCAGACCGGCTGACAGTAAAAATCTAAAACATCATACATCAACAGTGAATTAACAATCCATATAGGATAAAATACTTATAAGCCAATTGCCAAGTTAAAATTATGTCCAACTCACCAAGGTTTCCCAGTTCTTTCCCTTCCAAAGGAAGTTGAAGTTAACTTGTCAGTGTCTACAAAGAAATGACAGAACACCATGCAGAACATACGAGGCACTTCCTCTTGGGTGACTTTTACAAATGCTGACTCCATTACGGCATAATTTGACAGCCCCAAAGAACACAAATCTTAAATTTTGTCTCTCTTGTTTTGAAGCTATTCTGCTTTCAGTGTATCACTTGTGATTATTCTTATGTTTTCAGAAAACGGGAACAAATCTGATACTGAGTAAAAATAAATAAAGAAAGTCTACAACCAAATCCAGATGGAGCCTTGGGTGCCACCACCGAAACAACCCTGGCGACGTGGGAACCACTCAGCCTGGACTGAGGGCTATAGGAGGAGCCCGTGGCCTCCCCCTTCTTATTCCAGGAACAACACTGAGTGGATGTATCACCACGAACCCTGGGCAGGACCCCAACCAGATGCCCAGGCAGAGCACCACCCACCCACATATCATCCAGCATTTATGAGACCAAATTCTTGGGCACCCTACTATGAAAGTAGCTATGCCAGCTGGTCACATTCGAGGTAAGGTTGGTGTGAAGACATTAATAGTCACTCCTTCTGAACAAATTTTGCCAAGAAAACTCCATGATACATTCAGGTTAGGGTTGTCATAAGTTGGAAATTATTTGAAGGCACCAACAAGAAAAGGTCACCTCACTACCTCTGAGGATGCTTGCCATAGATGCAGGCGAAACGTCAGGAGAAAATGCCTCTAGAACATGGCCATATAGCCCGAAAAAACCTACAACAACCCAAAAGGTTAGCAATTGTGAAGAAAGGATCAGAGCATTTTTCTCAGTGTGGTTTCTCACTTGCTTTCTGTCCCATACGGAGACATGTTTGCATAAACATTAACTTATCCTTGCAAGTACCATCACATTACCCAAGCAACAACACCATCACATTACCCAAGCCAAATTGTCAATACAATCACAGTCATAGTCACAGTTCGTCATCCTCCTTCCTTGTGGACGAAGGTTATAGATTCAGTCCTCAAAAGCCATGTTCCAGAGCCAGGTCTTTATTAGTTTAATGAAAATCAGGAGGGAGGGAGCAGATCTAATCTCTAGTGGGAGGGAATTCCAAAGCCGGGGAGCCACCACCGAGAAGGCCCTGTATTATGCAATGAAATACAGTAGTGTAAAACCTATTGTGTATGAACCAGGCTTGTTGTCTCTCGCATCACTATAACACTGGGTCCTTCTCCCCATTTTTACTTTAGACCAGGGGTCATCAAACTTTTTAAACAGAGGGCCCGGTCATAGTTCCTCAAACTGTTAGTGGGCCGGATTATAATGTGAAAAAAGCATGAATGAATTCCTATGCACACTGCACATATCTTATTTGTAGTGCAAAAAACACTTTAAAACAATACAATAATTAAAATAAAGAACAATTTTAACAAATATAAACTTATTAGTATTTCAGTGGGAAGTGTGGGCCTGCTTTTGGTTCATGAGATAGGATCGTTGTTATGTGCTTTCAAATCGTTTCAAACTTAGGTTGATCCTGAGCGAGGGCCGGGTAAATTACCTTGGAGGGCCGTATCCGGCCCCCGGGCCTTAGTTTGAGGACCCCTGCTTTAGACCTTGCTGTTGACTTCCTTTGTTGTGCCATTGGCTCTTGTCCAGACTCTAGTGTTGTCACCATTGATTCTGCTGCGTGGTGCAGTTATTTGTGAAATCAATGATGCAAAGAAGAGGTAGAACAGCAGGGAGTTTCCTGGAAGCAGTGCATAATCATGGATCCAAAGTTTTAAATTATTTTAATACCAAGTTGAAAAGAAAGCTAAAAACAACAATGATAATCTGTTATTATCCTAAATATCTATTGCTTGGATGGTTTGAATAGTTTACCTCTTGCTTACTTATTCTTGCAAATAGAAGAATTTAGATAACTACTGATCCCTCTGTCTTTGTTGCTACTAATTTTCTTTCCACTTATACATTAGGCAAGGTTACGACAATCTGAATCATGGCTTGGTGGAAGATTATGCATACAGAAGTGTCCAAAGATATCCCCCAACACAGCATGATGAAAGAGGTGTTTTGCGAGGTAGGTGTGGAATCCCACTTTATGATAAACTTAGATGGAAATGTGCAAATTAATACATTGAATATTTGGAATTTGTATCCCAGCCTTCAACAGCAGCTTAATATTAAGAAATTCATGCAGTGGTACTTTCTACTTATTTTTATATCTCTGGAGGAAAAAGCTTTTCCTACTATATTACTATATATCTCTGGTTATTGTGAAGGCAGAGGTAGGAGATGCATGACTGTGTCGGGCTAAAATTCCCTTGACTCCTGAACATTTGCTATCCTGGTTGTGATTGATGGGAGCTGTAGTTCAACAATATCTTGAAGAGCATAAGTGTTAAAGCAGAGTTTAGAGAGTAATTTTGAAGAAGTGAATGGCTACTTACCACTAATGCTGTTAATAAAATTTAGGAACTTGTTGCATTGTTAGTTTTTAAGCATGAATTTTAAACACATGTCCTTTGTTTAATCTTTGTTTTGTGTATTTTAATATGTATTTTATATAAAAATACTAGATGTATTTGAAGAGTTTTATAAAGAACTGTACCAAACCAAAGCAAGTCCCATAGAGGCAATTAGGAAATATGTGGAGGAAAATTGGGAGAGTAAGCTGGAAGAGAAAGATAAAGAATTATTGGAACAACCTATTAAGAAGACAGAAATAGAGGAAGTTATTAAGAATTAAAAGTTGGCAAAGCTCCGGGCTTGGATGGTCTAGGGACAGAATATTATAAAAGCTTTAGAGAAGTTTTAACCCCAAAATTATTAGAATTGTACAATGGAATAATGAAGGGAGATAAAATACCCGAATCATGGAGGAAATCATTAATAATATTAATACCTAAACCTGATAAAGACCTAACAGACCCAGGGTCATATAGGCCCATATCATTAATTAATCAGGATGCAAAGATATTGTCCGCGATAATAGCTAATAGAATGAATAAATGTATGTATAAGTACATAAAAGAAGATCAGTGCGGGTTTATAAAAGGAAGACAAATGTCAAATTTGATAGGGAGAGTACTAAATAAAATTCATTGGGCTAAAGAGAGGAAAGAAAAAGCAGGGATATTATCATTAGATATTTTTAAAGCGTTTGATTGTGTGGAATGGGAGACATTAAGGGAAATATTGAATAAATTCGGAATGGGAAATAGAATAAAAGGAGTATTAAAACAATTTTATTCAAGGAACTCGGCAGTGGTAACTATAAATGACGGAGTGACAAATGAAATAAAAGTGACTAGAGGAACCAGACAAGGGTGCCCTTTGTCCCCGATACTATTTGCCATGGTGATAGAACTGTTTGCTAATAACATAAGGAATGACAAAAATCTAGAAGGGTTAGGAAAAAAGGAGAAACAGAAGGTGAGTTTATTCGCTGACGATACATTGTTATTTATAGAAAATATAGTGGAGAAAATGGATAGAATAAAAGAACATTTGGAGATATTTGGGAAAGCAACAGGCTTACAAGTTAATTGGAGTAAGTCAGAAATGATGCTACTTAATTATACAAGAGAAGAAGAAAAAGATCTTATAGAACAGAGCAAAGGGGGAATAAGAATCAAGAACAAACTAAAATACTTGGGAGTAATAATAACTAAGGATTTAAAAGAGATAGAGGAAGTAAATGTAGTAACATTAAGGAAAGAAGTCCAGAAAAAGTTAATAGAGTACGAAGGAATACGCTTATCATGGTTTGGAAGAATAGCATTAGTAAAAATGAAAATACTTCCAAAAATAAATTTCATATTTAGGATGCTACCACTTCAAATTACAGAAGAAGAACTAACTAGATGGCAACAAATGATTAATAAGTACTGTAATGGAAGTAAAAGGAACAGACTAAATAAACAATTATGGTATAGATCGCAAAAGGAGGGTGGACTGGCGTTACCTAATATAAAAAAATATTACGAAGCAAGTAGATTAAGTTTGGTTATAGAAGGAATGGTCAAAGAAGAGGGAATAGATTGGCTTAGTAATGATTCAGGAAAAGTGGAAGATGAAACTTGGAATATATTTTTAAACAGTTTACTAGAAAAGAAATGAGGGAAATTAGAAACCCAATGCTGAGCAATATACTTAAAGTATGGAATAAATATAAGGGGAGGTTAATAAAGGAGGGATCAATTATAACCCCAATAGTGATGGAAAAGAAGTTCCCAAAAAATTTAAAAAAAGTAATGGATAAAAAGGTAAGGGAAATAAATTTAGATAGGATAGGGGATTGGATGAAGGTGGAAATGAAGAGGGAAAGGATGTTGGAAGAGTTTAAAGAAATAAAATTGTCATGGTTTCATTGTATACAATTAGAACAATGGGTAATAAATTGGAAAAAAAATAATAGAAGTGAAAGCCAACTCAGTCAATTCGAACAAATAATACAGAAGGGAAGGACTGTAGAAGAACACGAAAACTTGAGAGGTATAATTAGCAAAATTTATAAGATATTAATGAAATGAAAGATGAAAAAACAAAAAAGTGCACCCTTAAAGAGATTTGGGAAGAAGATTTAGGGATAAAAATAAGAGAAATAGAGTGGCAACAATTATGGGGACAAAGACATTTAAAAAATTTATCGATACGAGTTAAAGAAAATTATTACAAGTTAATATGGAAGTGGTACTTGACACCGGTAAGAATAGCATATATGAATAAAAATAACTCAATAAATTGTTGGAGAGGGTGTCAAGAACCAGGAACATATATACACATGTGGTGGCAATGTAAATATGTAAATAATTTTTGGGAGAAAGTATTTAGAGAAATAGAAACTATAATGAATATAAAATTAGATAAAAGTCCTAGTATAGCATTACTATCACTATATAACGATAAGCAATTGAAAAAGGAGGATAAAGAAGCGATAACAAACTTACTAACTATAGCAAGACTGCTTATAGCAAGGAATTGGAAAAAAGAAATGAATATACAAATAGAGGAGTGGTATAAAGAAGCATGGAAAATAGCAATAAACGATAAATTGACATGTATATTAAAGGTTAAAAAAGGTATATGGAAACAAAGCGATTTTGATGCTGTATGGGGAAGATTTGTGGTAAATGGATTAAAAAATAAGGAAGGAAAATTACTGTCACAAGAAGAAATGAAATTTTGGACAGATGAAATGTAAGAAGGGTGGCTTGAAATGGGTGGAGGGGAGCACTGTGGTGAAAAAAGGGGGGAAAAAAATGAGAAAAAGGGGGAGAAATGTCAGAGTAAAATAATAAAATAACATGTTAAAGAGGTTGATGTACAAAATGTAATAGTATGTAATAAAGTGATAAATTAATAAAAAAAAAAAAACTAGATGTCCCCTGCCACACGTTGCTGTGGCCCGGTCTGTGTATATGTGTTTTGTGTGTGTATATATGTGTATATGTGTATGTATACATCTGTGTATATATGTGTATTTGCATATATATATATATATATATATATATATATATATATATGTACATATATGTGGGTGTATATATATGTGTGTGTGTGTGTATATATATTTGTGTATTTGTGTGTTTATATGTGTACACACATATTGTGTATATGTGTACGTGTGTATATATTTGTGTATATATGTGTGTGTATATTTGTGTATTTGTGTGTTTATATGCGTACATGCATATTGTGTATAAATTTATGCTTGTCTATATGCATATTTGTGTGTATATATGTATGTATGTGGATATGTATATGTGTGTACATGTATATATATGTATGTGTATGTGTGTATTTGTGCATATATATACGTTTGTGTGTATGAATGTGTGTATGTGCATATGTATATGAGTGTATATGTGTATGTATATATGGTGTATTTTTTGGGTTTTTAATTCTGTTCCGCTGGGGTTGTGTGTGTGTGTTTATGGGTGATGGACACTCGTTGGACTGTTAGGCATGCTGTGTCCAAATTTCGTGTCAATTCGTCCAGTGGTTTTTGAGTTATGTTAATCCCACAAATGAACATTACATTTTTATTTATATAGATGTTTTATTATGTATCTTTTTTAGCAGTGGTTCTCAACCTTTGGTCCTCCAGATGTTTGGACTTCAACTCCCAGAAATCCCAGCCAGTTCACTAGCTGTTAGGAATTGTGGGAGTTGAAGTCCAAAACATCTGGAGGACCAAAGGTTGAGAACCACTGTTTTATGGAAATACATTTTAACATGTGTATTTGTGGTATTTTTACAATGTTTAATTCTGTAACCTACCTTGACTCACAAGGAGAGGCAAGTAAGAAATAAATTATTCTTATTTATGTGACATGTACATAACAACACAGCACACATCCACATTAGGTCCAAGTGTCTGGTGTTCATCTCTGAATATTGGGCTCTTCCCAGGGGCCTATAGGGTATTTTCGTAAAATGCCCAGTTCTGAGAATTGCTACCTTTTACACCAAGTGGATTGATGTTATGTACAAATTAAGGCTTTTCAAGGTTTCTAGGAATGCCTCCAAGAGCACCAACCACTATTGGTATCACTATTGTTTTCTTTTGCCATCAGTGGTACCAATAGATGATGATGATTGCTCATAATTTCTTAACTATTTTGTTATTTTTAGAGGAAAAAAATAAGAAATTAGTATTATATGTGATATATTTTGACCCAAAATACGTCTAGAAGGCATAGAAATGTCCCATAAAAGTAGTTTCAAACAGTATTTCCAGCACCAGCTAATTCAACCCCCCCCATTTTTGCATTGTTTTTGAAAACAAACTTCACTACACCTTTTTAGCATTAAAAAAAGAAAAAAAGAAAATTATTTTTAATAACCCTTTTAGTTTGTGTTAAAGTGAAAGGACAAGAAATGTTTTTTTAAAGGGCAATTCTAGATGTGTGTAAGTGTACATGTAACATGTGGTAAATACATATATGCACATATTTGTAAAAAATATCCAGTGTGTCCTAACTGGTATCTGCATTCTTTTATCATTATTGGCAAACACTACTGATGACTACAGCTGATATATATATATATATATATATATATATATATATATATATATATATATAATCTCTCAATATTTAGACCAAAGGCGGAGAGAGACCTGGGGTAAAGATGGACATTCCTGGAACCCGAGTTATTCTGGATATTACCGTCAGGAAGAAGGCAGTAGCTTTGCAGGACATAATGATTTCATACTGACACGGTAAGAATTTGTGGAAATCCCTGCAAAATCCTAAAAGCTGAAAATCCAAAAGAGAACATTTCTAAGGCATGGTAGGCAAATTATGCACCTCTAGATGTTACTGGATTGCAACTTCCATCCGTCCTAGTCAGAAAAGCTACTGGGGAGGGTTAATGGGATTTGAATCCAACTTTATCTGAAGGGGTAGAAGCTACAGAACGTATCTTGTTCGTAACTTGGGGACTGCCTGTATGTTTGCATAGGAGCACCAGGATTGTGGTGCAGCTGGCTGAGTGTCAGCTGCATTAAGATCACTCTGACCAGAAGGTCATGAGTTCGAAGCCAGCCCGGGTCGGAGTGAGCTTCCGGCCAATTTTGTGTAGCTTGTTGTCGACCTTTGCAACCCGAAAGACAGTTGCATCTGTCAAGTAGGAAAATTAGGTACCACCTATGTGTGGGGAGGCTAATTAACTAATTTATGAGGCCATAAAAAGACTCCAGTGAAAAGCACTCCAACAAAGCATGCGGGAAATGCAGAAGTACTTCATCAGTGTTGCAGATGGACAATGAAAGCAACAGCTCCCCTGGCGGCCAGAAAAAGTTAAAATAGCCTCTGTGTATGTCTCTATATACGTTGTATGTCTAATTGGCATTGAATGTTTTCCATATATGTGTACACTGTAATCCGCCCTGAGTCCCCTGCGAGGTTAGAAGGGCAGAATATAAATGCTGTAAATAAAAATAAATAAATAGAACTGTAACTTTCACTGAATAACCCTGTAACACTTTTTACAACATGTTTTGTATATGTAAGCAATCAGGACAGGGTTAGCTATGGGGCAGATGCAAAATGAGTGCAGTGTGTTGCTCCGTGTAAGAGTTCTGCTTTAAACTGGATTACATGAGTCCGCACTGCCAGATAATCTGAGATAAACAGAAAACCTGTGATCAGATCCTGGGATAAAGGGGCAGTCTGGAAGGGCCCCTAATCCAGTTTAAAACAGAAAACCTGAGATCAGATGCTGGGATATAGGGCCTGTCTGGAAGGGCCCTTAGTTTACAGGCCCTTCCACACAGCCCTATATCCCAGAATATCAGGGCAGAAAATCCCACAATATGTGCTTTGAACTGCGTTATCTGAGTCCAAACTCAGATAATGTGGGATTTTCTGCCTTGATATTCTGGGATATAGGGCTGTTTGGAAGGGCCCTTTGTGCTTGTTGACAAAATAAGTAGTCATCTTAGTTTGACCCTTTCAGATGTGTAGGGAATCTCTTGCCTTATAACTACAACTTGTGGTTTGAACATTTTGAGCAGCAGCACCTGACAATCTAGGCTAGTTGTCAAAGTCTTGGTAGGGACCACATAGAGCAAGCATCTTGGGCCCTCCAGGTGTTTTGGACTTCGACTCCCACAATTCCTAACAGCCAGGCTATTAGAAAGTGTAAGAGTTGAAGTCCAAAACACCTGGAGGGCCCAAGTTTGACCATGCCTGACATAGAGTGGTCTGTCGCACACTGGGCCTGTAAATAATTGTCTTTAGAACAGGATGTGCAACCTTTGCCCAGCGGGAAGCCAGAGGACTTAAAGAGAAGTTCTCAGAGGGTTTTCACCACAAATAGTCTTTAGATGGCTTGTGAAGTACAACAAAGTCCTTTATTAATGAACAATCAAACAGAAACTTCTCTTGTCTTCAGTAAAGTTAAGCAAATGATTCCAAGCTTTTAGGCAACTGGTGAATTCCTAATCTTGCCCACGAAGGACAGGCAACTGTCTTCAATAACTTCATCTTTAAAGGAAAATCCCCTTTTTAACTTCTCCCAGGCTAACTGTAATTTAACCCTTACTGATGTGGGCTCTGCTACCGGGTCGAACTGCTTCTCGAACGCCGAGTGGACCTACCAGTAAAGGCTTAGATGTTCTCCAGATGGAGTTCTTTGGTCTTTAGGGCTGTTTTCCTGGAAATTCTTAAAGGTTGAAGCTTTTGTACAGGGGAAGCATGCACACATCCTATACATTAGTTTTCCTTGCTGAGACTAACTAAAAAATGGCTCCCTTCCCAATTGCCCTGAGCAAGGGGCGGAACCAAAACTTAACGATGATGGACAGGTGACTCGCCCTATGACTGCAACCAAAAGAAGCCACCTATCTGCAGAGTCCCTGAAACCTAGGACTGCAATCAAACATTTAATACAAAGCAAATAAAGTTGAAGCTCCTGGTACAGCTGTACCAGAACATAGAGGTTGTCCTTAAGGCCCTATGAAGGTAAGAATGGGCTCAAGTGAGCATACTTTGTCCATTGCTTTCTCAAACTGGAGCCAGCCATTTTCAGTGCTGAGAAAGGTCTTGGTCCAGTTGAGATTATCGTGCATATTTCCTGAGAAAATACATACTTAGGGCAGAATCTTAATCTGTTCACATTCCAGGAAGCAATATATGGTTGGGTGCAAAAAATATGCCATGCTTCTACTTGTGTACATCTCTTTTGTGAGAAGGCACACAAGATCTTTGTGAGGTTGTGCCAACAGACTTTAATCTGAGCTGTTTTCTTTCAACTCCTTTCTTTCCCAGATCTGAGCAGCGTGCTTCCTGTGAAGAAAGTTATAGTTCAAAGAAAGATGACTCCTATGAGATCAATTACAATTCTTCCTTGCAACGAGGGCAGATTCAGAATGATTTCCAAGGAAACTTTATGGAGAATGCCAGGAGAGCAGCACAACAGGTACCAACTTTGCAACTTGTTCAGAGTATATTTTCTTCTGCTTTTATTCCATCTGTCTATACAAGGCCTCTTCTATACTGCCATGTAAAATCCAGATTATCTGCTTTGAGCTGGATTATATTGCAGTGTAGACTTATATAATCCAGTTCAAAGCAGATAAATTAGATTTTATATGACAGCATAGATGGAGCCTAACGACAGATTATCAAAGTAACAACAACAACAAAACAAAATTATATTTATATATCTCTCTATCTCCCTGAGGGACTCAGAGCAGTTTCCAAGTAACATCATCAATACATACAAAGTAAACAACATAAAAATAAAATTAACAAGACAATATAAGCATAAAAATCACAATAGCACATATATATTATACTGTCATATAATCCAGTTCAAAGCAGATAATCTGGATTTTATATAGCAGTGTAAATTGGGCCTAAGACACTTGGCCCTACTAGGGGTAGCCAAGTATCTTTTATAGAGTCCCACCCTTTGTTTCAAGGGATGTCCAGTCCAAGTTAAAACCTTATAAGAAAGGAAAGAAAGATCTTAAACATGCTCATCAACAGTTGATCTGCACATCTGTAGCTGGGCAGCTGGTTGAGAAAGTTTGCAAGCCATCTGATCACAGTCTACATTACGATACTGAGTGACATTGTATTCCTATTGAAACTATATTATTCGCCATTGCTACGTTAGTATCTATAACTCTGGCCAGCTTTAGTACAGCAGGTTGATCATCAGCTGCAGCTGCAGTAAATCTTGCTAACCAAAAGGTTGACAGTTCGAAACCGGGTCAGGGGAGCTCCTGATCCAGCTCCCCACCCACCTAGTGGATGTAAGTCAATAAAATAGGAACCACATTAAGTGGGGAGGTATTTTAGGCACGGCATTTCAATCTGAAAAAGGAGGAAAGTTTACAAACAAAGAAAGCTCTTCGGCAAGGAGATGGAGCAACAGCACCCCTTGTGGCCAGAATCGAGCATAACCTCAAAAAATGCCGAAAGATGGGAAAAAGCTTATATAATACCTCTATCTGTTGTCTGTCTTGTCATTGTATAATCGGCATTGAATGTTTGCCGTATATATGTTCTGTGATCTGCCCTGAGTCCCCTTTGGGATGAGAAGGGCAGAATAGAAATACTGTAAATAAATAAATAAATAAAACTTTGAATATGTTTTAATTGATTTTAATTGTGATTTTTTAAAAAGTTCTGTTTGTGTTTAATTCTGTTTTAATGTTTGACTATTTGTATATTTTAAATTGTATACTCAGTCCCCTTTGGGGAGATAAGTGGAGTAATAATAATAATAATAATAATAATAATAATAATAATAAAAATTATTTAAACTTTCTTTGGTAATCCATTCTCCCTTTCCGGCATGCATAAGTATCCCTTCTGTCCTTAAGAGTCTTATGGAAAAGCTCCATCTCATATAAATGGAAAGGCCCTGTTCAGCTGTCAAGGTATCTCTGATTCATTTTGTGTTATCTTGATCCAGACCATTATTCTCACTTCCATTTCTCCACATAGCCTTCATTTGCTGAGGAGCCAAGCCTCCTCCAGCAGTATAAGGACTCAGGACTCAGCTCCAGTGCATACGAACTTAGCCAGTACATCAATGATTCCTCCAACCATTATGAAGCATCCCTTTCCAAGGACTGGAGCCCAGTTCATGAAGGTGAAGTATTCAGAGCCGCTCACTTGTGGGATGGTGAGGAAGAGGGAATATAAGCCTTTACCAGAGAGATGATCCCCTCCCTGCCAATGACATACATATTTTTGACTTTTAAAGTCACACCCTTTCAGTTCTCTTTATCATTGAGAAGTTCTTGTTTGAACATGTGGAACTATAGCAATGGTTTGACTCCACTTGTCACTTAGGAGACGTATAGTGCAATGGTTCAGTTCAGACACTTACTGGGTGGTTGTGGTCTTTGCATGAAAGCAGTCTGCATTACTGTGTGTGTAAAGCACGGGTGGAGATGGTTGTGGCACTTCATGCTCTCGGCATTCTTTTCTCCATATATAAATTTTATTTTGTTTTCAAATGAACAAAAAAACCCTCAAACAAACAGCATAAAAAGGAGAAAAAGAAATGAAAAATAAAAGAATATAATATATGGAGCCATTAGTTCTATATATCAGTCTATTGCATCATCAGAGACATAGAGGGGAGGGGGCAATTATCATTATACATGTTGGATTATTGTAGGTTTTTCGGGCTATATGGCCATGTTCTTCAACCTACAACAACCCAGTGATTCCAGCCATGAAAGCCTTTGATAATACATTATACATATTATTTGATATGGGAAGGAAGTGAAGTAAAAGGAGAAGAAGAAAACCCCTACTTTAACATAATTTCTGATAAGAGTACCAAATTGTCCTTCTGGAGCTTCATTAGTTTCTTTTATTTTCTTTTATTGTCCCTTCTTTTCTTCTCTTCCAACTCTGCGTAATATTCCTTTTCCATATTTTATCAGTTAACCAGTTGAAACTGTTGTTTTTTTTACCCTACTCTTAATGGCATATATACATATCTCAAAGTTAATTCCATTTGTTAATAGAGTAGTAATATACATGTAAATATTTTTATAATTATCAATCATTCACATAGCATCTACACATAGTAAACCTTATATAAGTGTATATCCTATAGTATCAAGCTTCTTGAATTTGTACACTTTTCTATTTTAATTCCAAATATTAACAGTTTTCCTTTTTTTAAAAAAAATCTTTTTTTTGGCTCTTAGATATACAAGTTATATAATTTATTCCCATTTCATAATACTTTTAGTTCACAAATCCTATTGCAGTCATCTTCTTCTGTTTTTTTTTGGAAATAAAACTCATAAAAGGTTTCCATTCTTCTAGCAATGTTTGTGTATTGGCTTGTTGTACAATTAAAGTTAATTTGTCAATTTCTGCTATTTCAAACATTTTTGTAATCCATTCATTGGGTGTAGGTGTTCTTCGTTGTTTCCCTAGTTTTGCTTTTTCAGTTCTTGCTGTGGCAGTCATGTACCGAAAGATTTTCTGGTGTTTCGGTATTTGCTTATGTAAAGATCCCTTACCTTGCCAGCTAGGGTGGCAGGGCCCAGGAAGAGACAGGCTAGGTAGTTTCAGCTTAGAAGGCCTGGCAGAGAGCTGCTGGAGCCATCTTAGTTTAGGGAAACTCCAGCTCAGAGAGGGGGAGTGGCCTAGGCCTGAGCCAGCCCAGCAACAGCCAGGATTGGTTTGGAAAAGAGGGGCGGAGTTAGCCAGATGGAGGGAAAGAGAACAGCCTAGTTTTGACAGTTCAGGTTTTAGTGTAGAAGAGAGCAGTTCCGAGTAGAGTAGAGAGCAGTTCAGTTCTGAGAAAGATTAGAGTAGGATTTGGATGTATTAGGAGTTCGTTATTAGAATAGGCAGTTTGCCTGGAGTTTGCACAGTGAAATAGGCTGTGGCAAACTGGTTACAGCTATTTTAGGGAAAAATAGCTGGGTTTTGTGTTTAAGAAATTGTAAGAAAGGAAAGAACCATTCTCTCAAGTAACCATTACGCTTCTAAGAAACACGAACACTTTTATTTGTAACCGCTAAGCCTCTGAACCTGCATTCACTTATAATTCTGAAATCTGTAATCAATAAACTCTTTCTTGTTATTTTTTAAAACTTAAGCCTGAGTCAAGTGCCATTTTTGGTTGGAGTCATTTTTTTCCGTTGAATCAACCTCTCCATTTTTCCCCTCAAAGAAGGCCCTTGTTATTACACAGTATTTGGTGGAGTAAAAAAGCCTTTTAATAATTTAAACAGCCTTTTAACATTCTAATTAGCTAGAGGGTTCGGTTTTCTTCAGTTTATGGTGGCAGCGAAGGTTTTAAAGAAAGAGACATTCCCTCAAACTCTATAAGAGCCAAAGTGGTGTGAATTCCTTATTGAAGGAGGGACAGTGTTGGGATCTGCTTGCCCCCTGTCCAGTGATATTGTTTGGTCATCAAGAAATTATATCATTATAATTGGTGGGGCAGCGGTGGGATTGTTTGACCCCCTGCCTTGATAACCCCTCTAAGTTATTATAGCTTGTCTATTAGTCTCAATAAAAAAAATTCTAGTTTTAGTGTTACTTTGTTTTTATTATGTTTTCAGTGTCAGTATGCACTTTTATCCAGAAAGCTTTGGCCTTTGGGCTGGTCTACCACATATGATAAGAGTTTCCAGTTGTTTGTTTACATTTCCAACATAAATTCAATTATTTATTTATTTTTGAGGGTTTTACTGGTATTATGTCCCATCTCCATGCTCCCAGCATTCTTCATTTCAGGTCATGCTGGGAATTGTGGTCCAACAATCTCTAGAAGGCCACATGGTTCCCATCACTGATTCCAGTTCATGACAGCCTTTACCCAGAAACATCTGACTCATGTGAACCCCCTCTTTCATTTGATTTGGTGTGAAAGAGACAACCTTGTGCTTCTGCTTCCTTACAGAGTCCCTGCATCATACTTTGCTTTTTAAGATCATACTTTGGCAAACTCATTTCTCTCCCATTAAATGTTTGAACATGATAATGATGATAATAATAATAATAATAATAATAATAATAATAATAATAATATTTATACCCCGCCACAGTCTCCCCAGGAGCCCCCGGTGGCGCAGTGGGTTAAAGCACTGAGCTGCTGAGCTTGTTGATCGAAAGGTCGCAGGTTCGATTCCGGGGAGCGGCGTGAGCTTCCGTTGTCAGTCCTAGCTTCTGCCAACCTAGCAGTTCGAAAACATGCAAATGTGAGTAGATCAATAGGTACTGCTCAGGTGGGAAGGTAATGGCGCTCCATGCAGTCATGTCGGCCACATGACCTTGGAGGTGTCTATGGACAATGCCGGCTCTTTGGCTTAGAAATGGAGATGAGCACCACACCCCAGAGTCAGACATGACTGGACTTAATGTCAAGGGACAACCTTTACCTTTACAGTCTCCCCGAAGGGACTTGGGATGGCTTACATGAGGCCAAGCCCGTCAAATAGTGCATCAACAAAGCAAACAAGCAAATAAAACAATATAAACATATAAGCAATAACGCACAAGAGATTTAAAACACTATGTCAGGGCCAAATGTAATAGATTAAAAAATTAAAAACACTGGGCGTGTACAGAGTAGGGTATGTCTAAACATGGGGATTTTAGAGAGTGATGTAGGGAGATCAATCCAACGGATAGATAAAGTGCCTCAGAGGACATATAGTAGAAAATTGGTCGGATCAGGGGCTTATTTCCTTTATCCAGGGAAGGCACACTGGAACATTTTCAAGCTCCTCCTAAAGACTGCCAAAGTGGGGGCTTGTGTGATATCTTTAGGGAGTGAGTTCCAGAGTTGGGGAGCCACCATAGAGAAGGCCCTCTCCCTCGTCCCCACCAGTCGCGCCTGAGAAGGGGGCGGGAGTGAGAGCAGGGCCTCTCCAGATGATCGATCGTGTGGGTTTGTAAACAGTAATGAACATGACCAAAGCAGGCTGCTTGTTCTTGCTCACTATAGTTGTATTGAGCCCATATTTTAACTCATTGGCTGGCTTCTCCTGAATCCTTGAGTCACATTTGACACCCTGCTTACAGGAACAGAAGTGTTGTGCTCACTAGGAAACCTTTGGGAAGTCAGAATAACTCCAGGCTTGAGATCAGTTACAAAGGATCTCTGTTTCTCATTTAGCAGGAGACTCAGTAGCTGCTCTGCACTCCGTGGCCCCCCAGAAGTTTTCCCTCCCCCATGTTCCTGTGTGCTTTGGAGCAGCGGGGCAGCTTGTCCAAGGATGCCCTAATGATCCAGCAGAAGGGCAGCCTGCGCTTGTGGAAATACACAGCCTGGAGGTAACCGTTAATATGTCTCTTGAAAAAAAATGTATCTGTCGAGTAGCTTTGTAAAGTTACTTTTTAGATGACAACTCCAAAAATCCTCCAGGATGAAACAATATTTGTATACATGAAATCACCTCTGGGGATAATTTCAGTTTGGAGAGTATTTTGATTTTGGAATTCTGTATAAATGATTCTCAACCTGTATTATCAGGATCTGACTCACCAAGTTCTTCTCTATTTTCTAGGTCATCCTACATGACTCGGCTGAGCAAGAGGCAATGAGAACCTTCCCAGGACCTCTGATCAGGTACACGTCCTTTGAAGGGGTGTAGTGTTAAGACTCCATTTTTCAGCATAGCCTTTTATTGTTTTAATGATTGTTTTATTGCTTATGGATGTATTTTTAATTTGATTGATGTCTAATTGTAATGTATAATTGTAATTGTTTGTACTGGCATTGAATTTTGCCATTACCTGTGTGGAAACCGCTTTGAGTCCCCCTCGGGGTGAGAAAAGCAGTATACAAATACTGTAAATAAATAAATAATAAATGATGTGGACTTGTTACTAAGCAAACTTGGGAATCTACTCTAGACAGCAGATTTTGGGTGTTATGGTGGAAGGTAGATCTGATACTGAGGCACAGTCCATCAGGATATTTTGAAATGAATGGGAATTGCATAAGGGCACAAGAGTGCTCCTGTGCAGTGTTTGCCATTGTGATATAGTTCTTAAGGAGAGAAAAAGTAAGAGAGAAAACCCTTCCTAGTGAACTATGCCATGTTATCCAGTGGAAGCGTGCTGGTTGGGTTATCTATCTGTGGCACCAAAATACTTTGGGCTAGCCATAAAAGAGAGGACTTTCCATTTAGGTCAGTTTTAACAAGGGAGGCAGAATCTGAAGACTGTGTAAGATCATTTGGGCCACTGGATATCATTGCCATGTGTCCCAGGTCACAGAAACATAATAGTTCAAATAGAATAGGGAAGAAAGTCGTACGAGGGAGGAAACACACTTTAGACTCTCGTTTTCTGTCTCATGGAGAAGGTTCTTTTGAACTGTCATGATCCTTTGTTCTATAGGAAGGCAAGCACTGAGAGCTTGCAAATAGTTTGCCTTTGCCTTCCAATTCCTGGAGAGTTGGCTGATCTGTCAGGACGTTAAGTGTTATGGCTGCTGACAGAACACTCTGCTAAAGCTGATTCCTGGCTAATAGTGCAGGATGGTTGGCTGAGGTTTCATCAAATGAGACTGATGACAGGAATTGGTCTCGTAATAGCGAGGGATCGGCTCTGGCTTTTGGAATGAAATACCCATCAGAGGAGGTGACAGTCATCCAACTGGATGGAAGAAGCAGAGGAATCATTAGAGGCAATTTGGACTTTCAGTTTAGACAAGTAAGGGGGGTAAGGAAGAACTGGAGGATTCAGTTTGTGTGTGTGTGTATAAGAAAAAGAGACCATGAGGGAAGGCGATAAATTTTTAGCTAGACTGAGCTAAAACTATAGTGCAGCCTGGGGTGAGGAGCATAAATTGCTCTCTGGGGAATCTGATGCAGACTTTGCAGTCCGCTTCTTGGAGTGTACTAGGATTTACTCTGCCCTACTTAGTACTTGCATACTTGTAACATTTGGTTTATTGACAAAGGCCTCTTAGTTCTCTACTACTGTCTTGTCCAGAAAGTAATACTGGAGGGTCTGACTGCTCAGGGAAATGGTGAATGCAGAATATTATTTATCTGACTTATTTATCTAATTTTCTCCCTTTCCAGGGAGGATCTGCACAAGGTGGATGTGATGACCTTTTGCCAACGCAAAGCAGCCCTTGGCTATGACTCGACATCCAACCGTGGCAGAGATTCTGCCTTGCTTTGGAAACTCCTTCTCCTTCTTTGCCGACAGAATGGCGTACGTATCTCTTCCTGGGTATATTTTTCTAGGAAGGAGACTGGGGGCCCTGCCATACAGCCCTATATCCCAGAATACCTTGGGAAGTCTGACTTGGCCACGATAGTCCACGCTCTGGTTACATCCCGTTTAGACTACTGCAATGCTCTCTACGTGGGATTGCCTTTGAAGACGGCTCGGAAGCTCCAACTAGTCCAACGCTCGGCAGCCATGATTTTAACAGGAGCGGAGCGCAGGGAGCATACAACCCCCCTGCTGCGCCAACTCCACTGGCTACCGATTTGCTACTGGGCTCAATTCAAAGTGCTGGCGTTGGCCTTTAAAGCCCTAAACGGTTCCGGCCCAAGTTACCTATCTGACCGCATCTCTGCCTATGAACCCACCAGGGCTTTGAGATCTTCCGGGGAGGCCCTACTCTCGATCCCGCCTGCTTCTCAAGCACGGTTGGCGGGGACGAGAGATAGGGCCTTCTCGGTGGTGGCCCCTCGGCTGTGGAACGCCCTTCCCACGGACATTAGGCTAGCACCATCTCTAATGGTATTCCGTAAAATAGTTAAGATTTGGTTGTTTCAGCAGGCGTTTGAATAATTAGTGCAATAATTGGTAATGAACATAGGAATGGAAATGGTTGACGAGTCTGGATTATGTTTTTTGTGGATGAGACGATAGTGCTTAGTTATTGTAGTAAGTGTTTATTAATTGTGTGTTGCGCGGGATTGTTAACTGTTTTATATCTGGCATTGAATTTCTGCTGTTCTTGTTGGTTGTGAACCGCTGTGAGTCGCCTTCGGGCTGAGAACAGCGGTATATAAGTAAAGTAAATAAATAATAAATAAATATCAAGGCAGAAAATTCCACATTATCTGAGTAGTTTGGAACAATGTAGCTTGGAACAATGGCTTCAAACTACAAGAAAGGAGATTCCATCTGAACATGAGGAAGAACTTCCTGACTGTGAGAGCCGTTCAGCAGTGGAACTCTCTGCCCCGGAGTGTGGTGGAGGCTCCTTCTTTGGAAGCTTTTCAACAGAGGCTGGATGGCCATCTGTCAGGGGTGATTTGAATGTAATATTCCTGCTTCTTGGCAGGGGGTTGGACTGGATGGCCCAAGAAGTCTCTTCCAACTCTTTGATTCTATGATTCTATGAGTGTGGACTCAGATGACCCAGTTCAAAGCAGATATTGTGGGATTTTCTGCCTTGATATTCTGGGATATAGGCCCTAAACTGGATTATAAGAGTCTGCAGTGCCATATAATCTAGTTCAAAGCAGGTAATCTGGATTTTACATAGCAGTGTAGAAAGGGCCTGAGGCCCTTTTCACATGGCTGAATAAAATCCCACATTTTCTGCTTTGATCTAGGATATATTGCAGTGTAGACTTTTATAGTCCAGTTTAAAGCAAATAATATAGATTAGCTGCTTTGATAATCTGGATTATATGGCAGTATAGAAGGGGCCCCAGAGAGCCAGAGGAAAGAAGACTGATCTAAGGAAAAGAACACAGAATTGCAAATTTGGAATGAGTAGGTCACAATACTGTTTTTTTTTCCTTTTCTTTTTTTATTCCTTTTTCTTTTTTATTAGCCCTTTGTCCTTCTACCTGTCATCTTAGCCACCCACTCTTTCACTACAGAAGATATAATTAGTTTTATTTCATTTTATTATATACTGGAAAAATCACCTTAAACGCACAACTCTGTAACCCCCCTACCCCCCCCCCCCCATTCTCAATAAATAGTGGGTATATGGCAGTGTGGACTCAGATAACCCAGTTCAAAGCAGATATTGTGGGATTTTCCGCCTTGATATTCTAGGGCAGGGGTCCTCAACCTTTTTAAACAGAGGGCCAGGTCACAGTCCCTCAAACTGTTGGGGGGCCGGATTATAATTTAAAATAAACATGAATGAATTCCTATGCACACTGCACATATCTTATTTATAATGCGAAAACCACTTAAAAACAATACAATAATTAAAATGAAAAACAATTTTAACAAAAATAAATAGTATTTAGTATTTCAATGGGAAGTGTGGGCCTGCTTTTGGCTGATGAGATAGGAGTGTTGTTGTTGTTGTTGTTGTTGTTGTTGTTGTTGTGTGCTTTCAAGTCGTTACAGACTTAGGTTGACCCTGAGCAAGGGCTGGGTAAATGACCTTGGAGGGCCGCATCCGGGCCCCGGGCCTTAGTTTGAGGACCCCTGTTCTAGAGTATATGATTGCGTGGAAGGGCCCTGAGTTTCAAGTCCCTTGTAGCATAACATTTCCCACCTGCATTGCAAGCGCGATTGGTGGGGACGAGGAATAGGGCTTTCTCGGTAGTGGCCCCTCGACTCTGGAACTCTCTCCTTAAGGACATCAGGCAGGCCCCGTCGCTAGCAATCTTTAGGAGGAGCTTGAAAACGTGGTTGTTCAGTGTGCCTTCCCAGAGTAAGGAACTCCTAGCATTATGTCCCAACGCACTTTATCAGAGAACCAGGATATCTGCATGCCCATCCCCCTCCAAACACCCCACCTGGTCATGTCCAGCATTTTTTAATTTTAATTACATTTGGCCCGGCCATTGTTTTTAATTGCATCATTATGTGTTGTTAATGTTATTGCCTTGTTTCTGAGTTATTTTGCTGTTTGTTGCTGCTGCTGTTTTTATTGTATTTGGGCTTGGCCTCTTGTAAGCCGCACTGAGTCCTTCGGGAGATGGTAGCGGGGTACAAATAAAGGTTTATTATTATTATTATTATTATTATTATTGCTTAGACCTCACTTTGATCCCTTTCAATACTTGCAACTGGCCTGAGATCATCAGCAGAGCCATCTCTACAGGTTGGGCCCATAGTGCACGTTCACTTGCCCAGATCCATGCATATTGGTAGGTTTCGTGCAACATAACGTCTTACACGAATTAGTCCCTGTGCCTGAATGCCCTTGTGTTAGACTTTTTCCCCCAAAATATTCTACATAAATGAAAAAGTGTTTGTTCTTCACTTAATAGTCTTCTGCCAAGATCGGTATGAAATTGCCCTTTGCATTCCATTGAAGATTGAAGAAGGTTTTTTTTTTTTAAAAAAATGGGAATGGGGAATGATGAGCATAGGAGTTGCACTTTTTTTATTGTGTCATCAGCAACCAGACATTTGTATTGCATTTTTAACAAAAACAAACAAACAAACAAACAAACAAACAGACAAAACACAGAATTTGCAAGCTTAGTAGTTGATTAAATGTCCTTTGACCAGTATCTGGCCATTTGGCGTGCCTCTGGTGTTGCTATAAGAAGGTCCTCCATTGTGCATGTGGCAGGGCTCAGGTTGCATCGCAGCAGATGGTCTGTAGTTTGCTCTTCTCCACACTCGCATGTCGTGGACTCCACTTTGTAGCCCCATTTCTTAAGATTGGCTCTGAATCTCGTGGTACCAGAGCGCAGTCTGTTTAGCACCTTCTAAGTCGCCCAGTTTTCTGTGTGCCCAGGGGGGAGTCTCTCATTTGGTATCAGCCATTGATTGAGGTTCTGGGTTTGAGCCTGCCACTTTTGGACTCTTGCTTGCTGGGATGTTCCAGCGAGTGTCTCTGTAGATCTTAGAAAACTATTTTCTAAGGAGTTAGAAAAGGAGTTGCACTGAGGGCTCTAGACAGACTACACACAGTCCACACGCTGTTCTATATCTACCCCTGAACAAATGCGTGGGCTCCAAACTCTTTAAATCAGTGTGTCATCATTTTACAGATGTAAACTGTGGCCAAGTAGTGTGTGGTCAAGATGACAAAATGAGGAAGAGTACTCTAACTGGGAGAGGATGCAGCAGTTTGCTTTTGACTAAACCTACTGGGAAGGGAAAGACTTTACAACCTTCTCTCCTCCATGCCCAGAATGCAAACTCCTTAGAATCATAGAATCATAGAATCAAAGAGTTGGAAGAGACCTCATAGGCCATCCAGTCCAACCCCCTGCCAAGAAGCAGGAATATTGCATTCAAATCACCCCTGACAGATGGCCATCCAGCCTCTGTTTAAAAGCTTCCAAAGAAGGAGCCTCCACCACACTCTGGGGCAGAGAGTTCCACTGCTGAACAGCTCTCACAGTCAGGAAGTTCTTCCTCATGTTCAGATGGAATCTCCTTTCTTGTAGTTTGAAGCCATTGTTTCGCGTCCTAGTCTCCAGGGAAGCAGAAAACAAGCTTGCTCCCTTCTCCCTGTGGCTTCCTCTCACATATTTATACATGTCTATTATATCTCCTCTCAGCCTTCTCTTCTTCAGGCTAAACATGCCCAGCTCCTTAAGCCGCTCCTCATAGGTCTTGTTCTCCAGACCCTTGATCATTTTAGTCACCCTCCTAGTCGCCCTACTTTTTGAACTTTGAACTCGATTTGTACCAACTGAAGAAAGCAGGGGACAAAAGGGGAAAGTGGAAGGATAAGAGACACCGGGCTATAGCAAAAACAGTGAAAAAGTAGAATGACAGAGGATTAGAACTATCTCTGCCACTCTAGAAGAGGATATTCTAACATTTATTTTAATTAAATTGTGTTTAAAACTGTAGTTCAATTGTGTCTTAACTTTATAGCTTTTCAATTATTTATATGTACTTGTTTTTTGATCTTGTTGTGAGCTGCCTTGAATCCAAGTTTAAGAGAGGCCAAATTTCTGTCTGTGTAATTGATCTTGTTTTTTCCAAGTCAAGCACTGCACAAAGAAATAAATGGAAAGGGGAAATATTAAAGAAAATAACAGTTCTTTAAGAACTGGTGCTGTGTGCTTACCAAGGAAATAACAATGTGAATGTATGCTTCACTATTCAGAAATAAGTTCTGGTGGTGCAATAGAATCTGCTCCCAGCTACACTTATTACAGACTGGGCTATATTTAAAACTAGATTGGGGACCCGGGTTATTTGAAAAGGGTATTTTTTATGTTAGGCAATACATTTTTAGTCATTTGTTATGCTGTGTCTTAGAAAAAACCTCCGTCTTTGCTTTTGTTTTTTTATGAATGCTCCCATTAGAA